GCTTGCAAGCAATTGCTTCAAGTTCATTACTTCCTGAAAGCAGCTAGAATTTTGGGGATGGGAATGGGAGGAAAAGTGGGCATTTCATGCCCAATTGGTGAAGAACTAGCTCTGTCACAGGTTCTGGCTTTGCTTTAAACTGAGCAAAGCTCTACTCCCACAGCTGGGGAACATTAGAAAGAGAGAAGGGTTGATGGATAGGAGGTTAATTATGGATCTCAGAGATAACAGTCAACTAACCAACCACTCCGGTTTCACACCACCTTAACTGCCATGGTCCAATTCTATGGAATCACAGGAGTTGTAGTTTTACAATGTCTTTAGCCTTCTCTACCAAAGGGGGTTGGGTCTTCATCAAGCAACAGTTTCTAGGATATCCTACAGCAGTTGCAGTGTTGTCAAACTGCATTAATTCTGCAGTGTAGATAACCCAGAGTAAGATGATTGTCTCAAGTACTGTGGAAGGGGAAAACTTAAGCAATCCCCAAATAATTCATTCTAAGTCTTCTGTTATAGTAAGAAGATATGTTAGCCACACAGCCTGTCCTCCACCCCATAAATGGCCTGCTGCCATTTGCTGTTGAAAACCTATTCCATTGCTTATATTAGGCTAAGATTCCGGGCTAGACCAGTCAGCTTCTTTATGTGGAACAGGGAAGATGGGATGCTACCTTGTCCTTTGCCAACAAAATGACTTGAGCTTGACCCCACATGTAACTGTACTTTCTTTTCCATTCCCATGTTCTTGAGCTCCCATTTTCTGGACTGTGGCCGACTCAAAGGAACATGCATGGGAATTTGTATGTACATGGGTGTGTGTGTTTTACACCTATGCCTTATCAGTGACTCGCAGTTTCCACCTTCTCTTCCTGATAGCACTAGAGATATCGCAAGATATCTGCATAGTTTGAGATTGTTTCCTATAACTAAATTAATTCTTATGTAACCCTTCTTCCTCCCCACCCTAGCTTAAAAGACAGCTCACTCTCCACCAAACAACAACATAACAGCCTTGTCTTCAGGACAAATCATTTTTATTTGGCATGTGCTTTCATGGAGTACTGCCCGCTTCCTCAGATCCATGTCATGTGTTGTGTTACTTGGTAGAACACCACGTTTCAGTAGAACTGAGTCAGTGGTGCTTCATGCCAGAGCTAGGACTGCTGGTGCATTTAGATCGATAGACGTTTCCTCTAGATACCGTCCTTCACAGTGGCAAGCACAGAACAAAGCTCTCTCCATATTGGCACCCATGCTGTTCAGTACCCCCAACCCCCCAAAAACTGTGTACATGAAATATGTTGAACAGTGGCTTTTCACCAAAGAAAAATCTAGCCTTTCCAGCAAACTTCTGTTTTTTGTTTTAGTGGTTGTAGTATAATTGGCCATATTTAACAACCATATCTATATTAGCTATATCCCTCTGTGTGTTTGTGGTTCTGCATCCAGTGATCCATATCAGTTAAAGATACCTCTAATTTTGTCCCTCCTGTTAAGATTTGCCAGATAATCTCTCTACAATAATGCATTATTTCCTCTTTTGCGGTATAGTAATGTGGCCAGCTAAGCTTATAATAAGGTTCTTAAGTTGTGAGTTGTAAATTGGGTGCCTGTTTGCATGCAGCACATTAAACGCTAGCTGTTCACTCTTCCTAAGTCAATTGTGTGTTCACTGGGGAGCAACTACAGCAAGAAAAAGGGATAAACAAAGAGATTTCACTTGTTTGGTTTACCTTTGTACATTTACCCTAAGGTGAAAAACTCTTGTTAGCACTGGAAACAGCATAACAGTACTCAAACCATAAGGCTATGTTTGCTTATACTTTTTACTATGAGGAAAGTGATGGTTACTTATCTACCTCCTTTAAGAGGATTAAAGGCACCGTAGAATTAAAAGCATAGAAGCAAATTATAATTTTCCCCTGAATCTTTTTTCTTTCTTTTTCTACTGAAGTTGGGCTTTGGTGGTGAACTAGATTCTTGCAATTCCACCCTTGAACGCATTTGCTGAGCAAAGGATGATGAATAATAATCGTTTTTGTGCATAACCACTACTCTGTCAGGTGTGCAGCTGGCTGCTCATAGTAATGAGTGACTCTGAAACAAGTAATGGAGAGCTTTGTATTATAATAATGTTTTTATGTATGCTTTATTGAACAGAAAAATCTGAGCCTCTCACACACAGTTGTCCCAGAAATATAGCGATTTCCTGGCAATTATGGACATTTCATTCAAAGGCAAATGCACAAAAGGTATAAACGATGCAGACAAATGGCTTCTTTCCTGAATATAGGCATCACAAGGGGAAAAAAGTACAGGATGAACTGGCTTGTGATGGAAACTCTCCCAGTACAGGTCCTATGGACTGCAAATAGCTTCCTAAAGTATATAAAGATGACAGCATGGCATGAAGGGTTTTCAAATATTGGTCAGTTTAAAATCTTCTTCTGTAACAGTCTGCACAATGTAAACATGTCCTGCATCTGTGGAAGACAAACCTACCCATATTTTCAGTGTGTTTATTTGACACTCAGGTGAGTATTCATTTCTCTTAGGCTTCAGCTTCCTGCCTTTTGTTTGTATAGGTTTGTCACATATCAACATAAGTGAGAAAAACTTTTCGAAAACAAAAATAAGTGCGAAAACTACAGAACAAACTAAGCTAGTTATACGCTGTGTCTAAAACTAGTTCTAATTCTGTTTTCTGCTTTATACCTCTGTGAGATAAATTCAAGGTCATAATGAGGAGGAAACAATGGCATTAATGGCTTTTGCCAACATTCTGTAGTCAACCTGGCTGAACTACATATTACACTTACTATAAATTAACAAATTTTGTTGCTTTTCTAAAGAAAATCTGATTTGGAAGGGAAAATTCTCTTCCAGCCCAGTGATTCTGTGATTTCAAATATCTGAAGGGTTATCACAGGGCTGATTGAGCAAGTTTGTTTTCTGCTGCTCTGGGCAGTAGGAGCCAAACCAGTGGCTTCACATTTCAAAAAATACATTTCTGCCTCACTATTAGGAAGAACGTCCTGATAGTAGGAGTTCTTCAACAGTGCAGTATAGTGGTTTGGGAGATGGTGGATTTTGGTTGGAGGATTTTGCTTAAAGTGGTGAGTGGACTGATCAGAATTATTTAGCTGTGGATTCCTGCAGTAATGGGTACTAGTCTAGATGATACTGCATGTACCTCCAATATATATACTTCTCTACAATATCAGGGTTCCAATTCACAAGGAAATTTCAGTAGACACTGGAAGGTCAGGGTGGAGGAGATGATGCATTGAGTAGTGCCTGGCATATATACCATCATCATGCTTTATGCTCATGCATTCCTTTATACCAGGCAGGGGCAAACTTCAGCCCTCCAGGTGGTTTGGACTTAAATTCCCCCAAATCCTAACATCCCGTTGGCTGTTGGGAATTGTGGAAATTGAATTCCAAAACACCTGAAGGGATGAAGTTTGCCCATGCCTGCTTTATACTCTTGCAAAAGGCTGTAATTATATTTTTATTAGCTCAGATGCAGTTTGCATGCTTGAAGATGAAGTGTAAAAGATGTTAAATTTCCTTTATAATATCTCTCAGGGAGTACAAATAAGCCTTGAAAAGAAGGCAGAAGAATGGAAGGAATTCTTCACATTTAGGTGTGTGAACAGTTCAGTGTTCCTGCAGGCCCCTTTCTGTTCATGGAGCTTCCCCATCTATTGACATGAGTGGGAGTACCTGCTTGCATGAGAGTGTAACTGTGCTTCAGATCAGAGGCTATATGAGCAAATTTCTGTAATTATGTATGTCACTTTGTACCTTGTACTTTTGATCTTAGATGAGTTTTTGAAATAATCACAGACAGGAATGTTTCTGGATTTTGATAGATGCATATGAGTTAATGGACCACATTTCACAGGCATTCATCTTGAAAAACCCTTTTCCGAAATTTTGTACATATTGAGGAAAGTTTGTGCTGAATTTAGAGTTGCTGGGATGCTGAAAGAAAAGCTAAGATTGACTTGTAGTTTGAGGCAAAGGCATGAGAATAACCTTTAATTGGTTACTTTTAAATCAGGACTTGATGGAGTTCTGCTGGCCACTTTGTATAGAATCTATACCAATCTATAGTGTAGATTTATAGTAATTCTGGTGCACATTTGTATTTATCTATATAGTGTATAGATCTTCAAATGAAGTAGGTCATTTATTTTGGTCCTCACAGATCTCTGGATTTTCTAGTACAAAACAGAACAGATATCTTAAACCAGAAGTCTGTCTGTTTTGGCGCTGAACTATTGCTACAACTTGTGGGCTGATCAAGGACTTTTATAGCAAAGTGCTGCAGGTGAACAGCCAGCGACAAAAATCTTAATTAAATTCCTCTGAAATTTCTGCATTGTTGATTTATCTTGGATCATCACTGATTTATATGTATTCTGTACTGTATAATGCTGTGCTCTGGTTCGCTGAAACTAGAGCACTAAGGTATTGTGAAAGGACAGAAATGTGCCCTATTAATGCAGAAGATGAAATAAATACAATTCATACAATGCTGTTAGACCTTTCCTTGTAATCCAGCAGCTCAATTGACTTCAGCTGAACTCTCTGTTATATTCCTTCTAAGACTCCTATCTGGAAAAAAGGGACTTGTCTTTGATAACTTGATATTTCTATATTTATCCAGGACATTTTTATCTGTAGCAGTGAAAATAGTAAGTGTAGATCTATCAACTATTCATTCTTCCCACCCCGGGTTATGATGATATGCCTAATGTTTTAATGCCTTCTGAGGATTTCTTTTTGATTTAGCCTCCTTCAGTTGTTTTATTACATTATAAATCTTATGCGTTCATTTTTGGTGAGGACCGACTTTAAATGTAAGATAGGTAAGAACCAAGCCGCTTGCTAGATAACATCTTTCTTTCTCCTCTCCTTTAGAAGATTCAATTGAGACACTGCTTTAGTTTAGAGCCAGATATAACCAATTCTCTATCCTTTACATATAGGTCAACCAGAGGGATAATCCAGCACTGGAACCTATTATCCACGGGTTGAAGGGTGTCGTCCATCATGGTAAGTGGATACTTAAAGTTACCTTTTGCTGAGAAAAGTAGAAGGCTTAGAATATTGTCCTTAATGGAATGGGTCACCATTTCAGAGGACATATTGAGGCACATATTTTTCATGCACTGATGTTTAAGGGCACTGAAGCTATTACTCTGTTAGTATAAAGTCGAAACTCATTTGTCACCTGGAAATAGGTTTAGGCTAATGCTAGCAAACGTGTTCCTTTCAGATAGAGTTTTGGTATATGTTTGTAGCAAATGATATTTTTCAAATTAGCAAATGAGCATTTTACTATTTCTGTCACTCTTGGAGCCATTTTCCTATTTGCTTTAGGTATACTTCCTCTCTTCAAAGTTTTCTATTTGTTTATAAATTGTTTGTCTTTCAGATTTAGGGAGCTGATAATGAAACAGAAAATTAACTATCTGTGAAAATTAATTAATGTTTGCAGCAAGAGAACATCTTGCTATTACTGACATAAATGTAATTATTCAACTATCCCAGTGCACATAAACCTATTATCCTTGAACTCAGAGTGGGTCATGAAATAAATATATCTTTAATTTTTGAAGAAGTTTTTATTGAGAATTTTTTGCAGAGCCTGATCATTGGTAATGCACCATTAGCAATTACAGCGAGGCAGGGCCTAATTTCAAAAGCACTCTTGTCACATTTTTAATGTAATGATATGTAAAGTTTTAATAATCTCATTATAATTCACGAGGCATCTGCAGGAACAGAGTTAGGTACCCTAATAAATCTCTGTTCCATCTATAAAACATCTTCACACCTTTTTCTAGGGGATTGTCTTTACACATTAGCTTGTGCTGTGGAGCTTAACAAACTTTTTTTCTTCTTGACTGGAAACCTAAAACCAGTTGACAGTGCTAGATTAAAGCAAATAGGATTCTGGATTAATTGCTCTGCTTTCAGATCCATTTAATGTTGCAGCTGTGGATGCCAACAAAACTAGTGGAAGAGAAAAATAGGGGTTCAATGATAACATAAGACAAGGACTTCATTTACAGATTTTTCCATAGGCTTGTTGCCATTTATAAATTGCAGCCTTTGGCTGTGAAATAAAACCTACACACTGAGTTGAAACCCATGTTGTTTTCTACAGAAATAGGTGTTATTATCTAGTTTCCACTGGGCAACGGAAGACTCTGGCATTTTTTAAAAAAAAAACAGGAAAAGTAAATTGAGCTATTGTGGTGATTACATAATTTGACACTATAGGCAACCCTGCAATTTCAGTGACCCAGAATATTTCTTAGTCTTTCAACCTACCTACTCAGTATTTCAAGGTCCCAACCCACTCAGATATGATTGAAGCGATCCCATTTCTTTTCCATCTGCTGTAGGAATGCCTGCTGGTGCCTAATCATACTTGTATCTTGCAGGTATACTTCATCCCCTTTTTAAAAAATGGTCTAGTAAACTCTTTCCTTACTCACATAATAATAATTTGTCAGTCCTGGAGTTATCTGCACAGAGCAGAATCCGAGTGGGCAATAGATGTATATTTTACTTCCCTCACAATAGGTGCCCAATCTCAAGTGGAGAAATGAATGGATGTGTTTGAGAAACCTGCTTCCCAATAAAAATCTAAAAATAAGACAGAAGGAAACATTGTTTTCTTCATTATATGAGAGTGTGGAACACTTTCTTTTCCTGGGGTTTAGGTATAGTGTAATAAATGTATCTTGGCTAGCTTAACAAAATAATATTTCTTTCTTCATTCGATTTGAGTGTCAACCTCTACAAAGCAGTGATTTGCTGTTGACCAAAGAAAATCTACAATAATGTTCCAGGCTTGCATCCAGGGAATTGGTTAGCTCAAAGCTGTGTGTTAAATTCAGATTCACCAAATAATCCCTCGCATTTTAGCCTGAGTCATTCCCAGATAGGGACATCATCATTCTGGAATGAACAACAGAAATCACAAATGGCCTCTTCTGTTTATGTAATAAAAGAAACATCAACCTTCTGAGGATCTGGCCTAGAGGTGGGAATAATGTGGCTTTCCAGATGTAGCAGCCCTAGTAGCTAGCTACTATATGGAGGCTCCTTCTACGGAGGCTTTTAAATAGAGGCTGGATGGCCATCTATTGGGGGTGCTTTGAGCATAATTGTCCTGCTTCTTGGCAGGGGGTTGGACTGGATGGCTCACGAGGTCTCTTTTAACTCTATGATTCTATAATAGTGAGAAATTCTGACAGTTGCCTTCCAATAACATCGTAATGGCCACCCAGTTCTCACTCCTATTACATGCAGTCCCCAAGTTACAAACATCTGACTTTACAAACAACTCCTAGTTATGAATGGGAATGAGACAACAGAAAGTGAGAGAACTCCACTCCTCAGAAGGGGAATTCACTCCTGAAAGAGTTATCATGAGGAAAGGGGGTATCCACTTAATGTTTATTATCAATTCTTTTTTCTATAGCAAGCCAATTTTTCATAATCCAGTTATCACAAGGGCAGAGAGTGAGTGAAATCTTCTGAAAAGGGTACAAACAGCAAAACAGACACCACAGGGGTGTTAACGCTTCCCTATGCTATCAAAAGCTAAATAATATTTTTGGCTGGATTTACACTTTAAAAATGTACCTGTTCTGACTTACAAACAACTTCAATTTAAGAACAAATCTAAAGAACCTATCTTGTTCAGAACTTGGGGACTGCCTATATAGTCTGTTGACATAGCAACTCTGTGTCTTTTTGACACCTTGGTCCACAGTCATAAGCCCACCCACCTTTTTTGTCTCTCCATTTCCCTCCTGAGAAATAGACTTTCTCAACAGATAATTTTCAGCTTTTAAAAATCCATCCCAGTTCTTTATAAGATTCTTCTTGAGTTCAACCTCAGAAGGATTGAGGGCCCCATCTGCTCTGACCATTGGACTGCTTTAGCAGCCCAAAGCTAGCTTCTAATGGCAGTGATTGGACAACCAACTCGCACAAAATCACACAAAAGAAAGGCCTAAATGTGTACCAGGGTGTTGTTGTTTGTATAATAACTATTTGGGCCTTGAACTGGTTCCAGAATTTCCTAGAATTTCACCTGTTCGGTGAAACCACTTGCTTCAATACCACTTTGAAGCTGCATTTAATGGTCAGTGTAGATGTTGCCACAATCCTTTTTCTAATAGATGCATAGTGCAGGTTTCAGAGCTCCTTCTCTACATCTCTCCTATCCTCTGTAAATATTTCAACAGGTTTATTCCAAAGAAATTGGAATTGTTGTGTTCATACCTTCTCTGGTTGTCAAAAGGCCACTCTGTCAGGAGTACAAGATGGTATACAGATTGCATATCCCTTACCCACAATAGTTCAAAATCCATTTTTCCACATGGATGGCTGAGATACTGACACCATTGCTTTCTTGTGAATCAATGCGCACAAACTTTGTTTCATGTACACAATTATTAAAATATTTTATATAAATTTAGCTTCAAGCTATGTGCATGAGTCATATAGGAAACATAAATGACTTCTGTGTTCATTCTTGGGGCTCATCTCCAAGATATCTCATTGTGTATTGTTAAAAACCCACTCCAAAATCCAAAGCACTTCTGGTTCAAATAACTCCAAATGAAGGTTTCTCAGCCTGTAATCAATTATTATCTTATTTTCAGTTCTTCGAAGAATTCTGATACGGCTTCATTAATCGGTCTCAAAGGTGTTTGATATTGATGACCTTAGGTATAAATGTTAAAAAGTATTGCAATATCAAACAATATTCCATCTCAGCCTACATTCTATAGTGTCCTAAATGGATTCCAGCATTTTAAACTATTTTAAATAAATATATTTGAAATGGTTCTATAGATAGTATAATTACATTTCAACAGTAACAATATCTATTTTATATTTAATGAACACAATGGCTGTACCAGTAACTACTCAATATGCTTGATCTACACTGGGGTTTTTAAATATAGGTTGGTGGGTAGGTAGATATTGGTTCATCTGCAAACCTCTGATCTTTTGTCTGCATACTACCTTTTGTGTACAGCTAGTACAGTGTGGGCTTAAATAATCATTACCATTGACCCTAAATATCAAAAAAGAGGAGGTAATTTTAAGCTGGTTTGTTTATCTTGGTAATAAGCCGCTACAAAAACTTTTGGATAGCTGTTTCTGTCCTTATGTCATGAGATGCATTTTCATACATTAATATAGCACATTAGAGAAGGCCTTGACTACTACAAGAGGTAAATGAATACTGTAAAAGAGGTACAGTGTTCCCTCGCTACTTCGCGGTTTGCTTTTAGCAAACTCAATGTTTCGCGGGTTTTTGAAAATATTAATAAAAATATATAATACTTACATCCAGTGGAGGCCAGGGACCCCGGAAGTGCGACGGCCAGAGGCACAATGGGGAAGACCTGCCTCCTTGGCCTGCTGCTGCCTGCGTGGCTCTGGGGGCTCTGCCAGGGTGTGCGGAGGCCAGGGAGGCAGGCAGGTGCCCTCGGGATGGGCCGGAAGGCAGGTAAGGAAACACGGGTAAGAAAATAATATATAAAATTTATAGAATAATGTATAAATATTAAAATTAATATGGTGTCCCTACTTCGCAGATTTTCACTGGAACAGAACCCCCGTGATAAGTAAGGGAACACTGTATTGGTTTTTCGTGTTATGCCACAATTATCTAATTTTTGTATACGTTGTAGAAGTATTCCTTACCTTAAACGTTGTATAAAATTCATGAGCTCTCCATAAATCGCCAGAAGACTTTAAGGTGCATACACACATACAAAGGAACCTCATGTATTTTAGGAGTGTGAGAGAGCATTAGCCCAAGTGAACATAGCAGTAGAGAATACTGTAAATTGGAGCCTAGATGACTGTGTGACTCTGTCCCAATTTATAATAACAAAGGCTATATATCCACAGTGCAGAATGATAGCAGTTTGACACCATGTTAACCACCATGGCTCAGTACTATGGAATTTGCTGGGCTGTAGTTTTGTGAAATATTTACGCTTCTCTGTCAG